TATAATAGAAAACATACCGGAAATATTTGTCTCAGGTTTCTTTGACGTTCTGATGTGTTTTGCGTTTCGTCAGAGGATGTCGGACGTATAACTTCTTTTGCAAATTTCATCATTGCTCGTAGCACTTCACGAAAGTGTCTATGAATAGACTCCGTAGAGTGTTGAAATCTCCGTTTAACATTCTAAAGCGTTCATTATGGCCAATAATTGTCAAAAATATAACCATCTTCTCTTCGACGGTCACATTCCTACTATCTTGCAACCAATTTCTTTGTTTAAAATGGTTGCATAATAGTATCTACACGTCCTGAGATAGCCGCATCAATTCAACGCATTGTGTATTCGAACCGCCTAACAATTCGAACCATTTAAAAAAATTATATCCATATAAATAAATATATTATAAAAATATAATTATGTAAAGAATTAAGAAAGAAAATGACCGAAATTTCTATCTTCCATTCCTCATCTGATAGATTGAAGGTGTTGGTTGATGGATCGTAGACATTGCCCGTTTTGTTTTTCAGTTTAGACCAAGCTGCGTATTTTCCCTTAAGATAATCGTAGTGATTTTTCATTTGTCGTTGATCCACGACAATGTTATGTTTTCTTTTCAACTCTTCCCCAACATTCTTCCACGACTGTGACTTAAGACTACTACCTTTTCGTCCATTTTTTATTGTCTTGTGTATACAAGCTTCGAGAAATCTTTGGACCAATCCTTCCTTTTTCCAAGTAATCCTACGTTTCTTTTGGTGCGAAGATTCACCAACTAATTCCATACCTAGTCCAAACAATTTTATAAAGTACAAAGTAACATAAAGTTTAGCAAACGAATAAACAGCCCAATAAACATAAAATCTACAAGATTGTAAACAGAAAACTTCTAAAGCAGTGGCTTGTTTACAATTGTTACCATCCTTAGCTTATTAACATGCCTCATCCTAAATAAAAATTGTTACCATCTAAAGCAGTGGCTTGTTTCCAATTGTTACCATCTAAAGCAGTGGCTTTTTAGCCCACACATTGTAAACAAAAAATCGAAAGGGCATTATAAAATCTTCAAAAAGGCAGTGCCTTGTTTGGGCTTGTTTACCCCATACAGAAAATCTAAACAGCAATCTTAAAAAAAAACAGCAGATAGAGGATGTAACTGAAAATCTAAATAGCAGATAGCAATCTTCAAAAAAACCCCATCTAAATAGCAAGATCTAAACACAAAATCTAGTAAAAAAAGTGAAAGCAATCTTGTTTAAAATAGAGGATGTAACAGAAAATCTAACGGGAAACTGACAAACCTGTGGAAACCTGTGGAAACCTGTGGAAACCTGTGGAAACCTGTGGAAACCTGTGGAAACGGCAAGGCTCGTAGAGGAAGCTGTGGAAAAAAAATCTTGTTTAAAACAGACGAAGCTGAGGAAAGCAAAAAAAGTGCAGCTCTAACGGGAGACAAACCTGTGGAAACGGCGACCAACGAAGCTATGGAAAAGGGCGACCGACGAGTAGATGAGGAAACCGGCGACCGACAGCTGTGGAAACGGCGACCGACAGCTGTGTTCTTTATTGTTTTTTTATCTTTTATGCATAGCTGGATATTTGACATTGAGAGACTGAAAGGTTTTTTTTTTTGCATTTTTATTCTAGAAACGGATTTACAAGAAGCAAGCTCAAGACTTCGATCAGCTACAAAGAATTTATGGTTCGTATTTCATTTGCTTTTAGGCAGTGTTAATACTTTACTTTCAACATTGATCGTAGGTTGTTCTTGAGAATCATGATGTAGAGAGAAGATTATTTGATTTCCGTGACTTTTAAGCAATGTTAATCCTCTACATCTCGCCGCATTGCGTCATTTTTTGCAGGAACTATTTACGGATGAGTGCATCAGGAAAACTAAACAACCGTTTGGATATACGGATGAACATTATTTACAAATGATTTTATTTCTTTGTTCAATCAAGAATTTCAAGTTTTGTAATGAGTTTTGAATATATGGGTTTAGAAACCCAATACATGTGCAATTAATTTTTCATTCAATTTTGCTAATACACCATCTTAACCTTCAACTTTATATATTAGTTGACTTGTAAAATAACTACACAAACTCATGATTCAAGCATAAACTAATGTTTCAGAATTGTGATTCACCCGCGCAGCATCGCGCGGGTACACCACTAGTATATATATATATATATACACACTAGTGGTGTACCCGCGCTGCATCACAATCCGGAAACATTAGTTTGTGTGGTTATTTTACAAGTCAACTAATATATAAAGTTGAAGATTAATTTTGTTTGTTCGCAAGATCGAATGAACAAAAAATTGCACACATGTCGGGTTTCTGTAACCATCTACTCAGACCTCATTACAAAACTTGAAATTCTTGAATGAACAAAGAAATACAATCGTTTGTAAAATAATATTCATCTGTATATCCAAACTGTTGTTTGTTTTTCGTGATGTAAATATTTCCTGCAAAAAACGGAGCAATGGTTTTAATAGAAACATATGGTACAAAATGTGTCACAATATAATTGCTGATTATACCTTATTCATCACGTAAAACTCATCAACAATATATGGGGTGTTCATTTCTACAAGTTTGTTACACTAATCAGAATCTATTTGAATTATATAATAATATGCGTATGTTAAAAATAATAGGCAAATATTAATGTAGTTAAGCAGGAATAAGAAAACATATTTTCTGTTATCTTCGAATCATGCAAACAACTTGTATCTCTAGTGAATCAAGTAGAGAAAGCTTATAATACTTCGTGTCGTTTATTAGAGCACAAAGTCTTCCAAGACCAACAACAATTCCTACCATATCTTGTTACACCTATGTATATGCGTCACAAGTCCCCAAACAATTCGAAAGGCTTACACCAAACAACCAAATTGAATCAGTACACAAGTTTGGCATTATCCAAGACCATTATGCAAGTTCAATTTAAACGGGTATTCAAGCAGGTTATATTTAAAGCTCAATGTAAACAGGTTTTGATGATGAAGGGTAAAAAGTTCAAAGATTTTATGCACTGATGTGTGTGTATAATATGAAATTGAAACAGGTTATATTTAAGGATCAATGTAAACAGGTTTCATGTTTTATGCACTGATGTGTGTATGTATAAGATGTGTGGTATGTATGCATATCACTCTTTGGGGGGGGGGTGCATGGTGGTCCTTATACGTACCTTTGTAGAAGCTTCAGATACTTTGTATGAATCAGCAGTAATGGGGTGAACCCACAAACCAGGAAACAGATTCTGCACGCCTTTCACAACGCATCAGAAAGCACTCCAGATCTCTGCTTCTAATCTAATATCTATGCATACACACACACAGCAGGGGTATGTATGCATTGCAGCAGGCCTCTCTCTCTGTAAGATATTAGATTGGTTGTGGTTGTGCTCATGGAGCTAAAAGTAGTTGCCTGAAGTTGTGAGATGTGTGCTTGGCTGTTATTATTATTGATGAATGAATGCTTGAATACTTTTAAGATCATTTCTGTACATTCTATTTACTTTGATAAACTAATGAAGGGTTGAGATCGTTTGACATATACCTTTTACTTTGATAAACTTAATAAAGGGTGATAACATTAGCATAAAAGGAAATCCAAGAGGCAAGGCCGTAGATACCAAGGATGTAACAGTTAAGGCAGATACTGTTGCTTTTGTGTAAAACAAGTTCCGTTTTTAAGCTAACAGCTATATGCTAGTCTCAGACTCTTGAATCATTTTTCTCAACTCTTGTATGGACTACATGTTCTTCATTTGATTAATCCTCTTTAGAAAAGGCATGGTTTACCTTGAAAATTGGCTGTCTGAAGTCTGGACTGTGCAATCAAACTTAAGGCCCGTGCATCCGGACTTGTGGTTTGTGAAATCGACTGTTTGTAACTCCGGACTGTAGCTGTCGTTTACCAAACACTTGAATGCTTGAACTTCGACAATGCTTCTCTGTTTTGCTGCCTGAAACATGATATCAATCAAAAAGAAAGAAAAGGGAATTAAAAACAAAACTACAATGACCAATTTGACTGTTTATTGTAAGAAGTTACAAACATGCCYTACAAATCAGAGATGGGGGTTCTTTTTTCTTGCTAATTTTTACTGGTTTTGGGTGTTAAGATGATGCAACCCATCCAGAGTCTATAAGAAGAGAGATTGGATTGTGGGTTTGTTTTCATGTGAAGAAGCAGCTCCACTGAATCATTGATGCATCTGCCATCTGGTCATGATGATCCTTCTTTCTGATCTTGAAATATTTCATCTCAAACCAAAGTCTGGTACCTGTAGCAAAGCACATAACTTTATGAAGTGCTTATTTTAGATCACCATTTTTATTGTTCTGATCCTTTACTCACTCCAACTGAACAATAACTTTCCTTAATGGATAAAACTGTCTATATAGATTAATTTGTTTGTATATGTTGAGAATGTTTTTGTTTGGAAGGAGCGTGTTTTTAATTGGGAATGGCAGGTTTAGAAAAAAAAATTAAAAACTTGACTTTTTAGATAAAGTTTTTCCTAAAAGGTTACTGAATAAGCCACTTTTTATATCATTAAGCCATTACCAAGCAATCATGTATAACTAATCGAATAAGCTATGAGTCATATTAAGCGTATTAAGCTGCTAACAAACAGGCTCTTAAATGAAAAACAACCGAACAACCCCTAGTTAAGCTAGAGTTGTAACACCGTGGTTATAAAACGTCCAAATAACCCATAATCACCAAAACATTGATTTTAAACCACCAAAACATACGGGATACAAACTTTAGTTTTAAAACCACCAAAAATGTTCAATCGGTTTGACCCAATAAAGTCAAACACAACCAAAATTATTAATTGCTTACAAACCGAATGAACCTAAACCAGCCGGAACATAATATAACTACCCAGAATGATTAAAATATATATACATGCCAAAATATTACAAAAAAAGAGCATCACAAATCATGTACCAGAAACTAGATCAAGTTCTTCAACTTCAACTGAATCAACTATTTCATCGGATCCTTTCCCGTGTCTAATTCTTTTTCCTGAAAAAGAAATATGTTGGAGAATTCGGATTAAGCACAGGGCTTAGTGAATTAAATGAACTAAACAAAGAATATTAACATTACACACTTGCACACACACACACACACACACACACACACACACACATATATATATATATATATACGGTAAGAAAACGAATCAAAGACATACTCAATAAGAGAATCCGTTCGTCCGTACACATACCAAAACATACAACAATAACGATTCCAATGATCAATTTATGATAATCCAATTTTATCAACAATATCATACGTAAACACGTTCCTAAACATTAGTCATATCATAAATAATCACCCCTCGCAAGAGTTACATAGAAATCAATCATAACAAATGTATCAACATATCATATATTCACAATACATCAAACATAATGCATAGGATTAGTAGGGACCCACAATCATCATCCGGCTATGCCCAAGCCCCTATGCATAACCAAATAGAATACCAAACACTAGCAGGGACCCGCCTTCATTTCCAGGGTATGCCCGAGTCCCGTATTCATGTTACAAAATATGTTACAAAGGGGCATGCTTTAGCCCTGGATGTGCCTGAGATTAGTCGAGCTTCGGCTCGGATACACTTCAAAAAAAAAAAAAAATGCAACGGTTTCACCATAAAAATGTTTTGGTTCACCTAATTTATTTGCAACATGAACCAGTTTTCATAATTTTTTTCAAAATGCACCGGTTTCATTTTGCTTCTCATAAAAAAAAGATTAACTACACGATCAATGCAACGGGTTCACCATAAAATGTTTCGGTTCACCTAATTTCTTTGCAACATGAACCGGTTTCACGTTCATGAAACCTGTTTCGTTTTGTGGATTTTCTTTTGTTCATCTACGTTTTGATGATTTCATTCTATAATTCAATTGTTTCAT